AAACTCTACAAGGAGCTCTCCCCGGAACTAGCTAAACCCCTCTGCTCCATCATCAATGCTTCTCCCTCAGTCAAGCAAGGTGCCCAGCTGACTGGAATACCTCAAAGGTGTCCAATACCCAAGTCAACGAGCCCACAATCCTTAAAAGACTTACGACCCATTGCCATTATAATACCTGGCTTAATCTGCGAAATTCGTTTTTGACTCGGCTTATGCTTATATTGCAGGCGTCATAGATCTTCAGCAATTTTGCTGTATGAAAACTTCCTCCACCACTCACTGTCTTGTCAACTTTCTCGACTACATGTACCGCCATCTGGAAAAGCGAAACACGTCTGTGGCTGTCTCCTTCATTGACTTCACCAAGGCATTTGATCTAGTCGACCACAATTTAATCATCAATAAAACTATAGACCTCAGGTTTCGGAGAAGTCTTATACCATGGCTTACAGACTTCCTTAATGACCGACACCAAGCTGTACACTTCCGAGGGGCTGTCTCCACTTTTCATTCACTCAAGTGTGGCGTCCCCCAAGGCACCAAGATGGGTCCGCTCTACTTCCCCATGCTTAAATGATGCCCTGAGAGAAACACCCACTCGTTACAAATATGTCGACGACTCCACCATTGGGATCAGTGTGAACAACTCGGCTCCCGACTACAGCGCCCTCCAGAATATACTAAACCACCTCCAAAATTGGGCCACTAACAACCATATCATCATCAACCATACCAAGTTCATGGCTTTGCACATCTGACCGTGTCCCACCTCCCTCCATTACTTTGGGCCCCAACACACCCAGGTTGTGGACGCCAATAAGCTCCTCGGCGTCACAATAGATAATAAACTAAATTGGAAAACACACGTCGTTGTCAAATCTTCAAGTTTTCGTCTCCACCTCCTCCGCCGTCTCAAGTCCCGTGGAGTTCCCGCGCCCAAGCTCCTCAGTGCTTACTCAATATTCATACTTCCCAAGCTCACCTATGCCTCCCCTACCTGGTCTCCTAAATACCACAAATGGAATACCTAAAAAGAGCAGATGAGGGCGTGCAAGATTATTCTCCCCCCTCCTACTCCGCATATCAAGAGAGCTCAGCACACTGACCTTCTCGGCTCTCTCTGATCATCATTAAAATCTAATCTGCAAATTTAAGGAGAGGCCTCTGCCCCATCCTCAACACCATCTCCTGCTTCCATTCGAGATCCCTTGTCCGCGAATTACTGTTCAACACCTCAACCGCATCCTACCCACACGAACACGTACTGATCTCTATAAGAACAGCCCAGTCCCAATCATTGTAAAAAGTATCAACTATTCGTAATCAACCAGTGTGTTTACTCCTGCCAATCTTACTTTTTTGCACTGTCACTGTGTTGAATTGCCCTGCAGTATAACCTCCTCTCCACTTTGTTTTTATATACCATAGTTGTATCATTTATGTTACTTGTATATTATTTGCCAATTAAGTGACCCATTCCCCAATTATGTAACTGTATGTTTTCAGCCTTTTGGCTGTCATGTTTGTTTTTAATAAGCCGTTAACTATTAGTATTATTATTATAATTATTATTATTATTATTATTATTATTATTATTATTATTATTATTATTATTATTATTACACACACACGCACCTCTGAACTCCTCGCTACACCCGAACACAATACCCTGAGGGCTGATGCGTCATTCTCATGTATAACACAGAGTTCTGCATTAGTACAGTGACACAACAGTTTATCTTGATGAAAAGGAAATTATAAATTATTGTTGATTTCTTAATTGACCTTAAAGCGCCATGAAATGTAGATAGAAAACATGTGTGCGTGTGTGTGTGTGTGTGTGTGTGTGTGTGTGTGTGTGTGTGTGTGTGTGTGTGTGTCTTGGGTAGGAACACATTCGATAATTGTATGTATAGCTTCGGGTTGAGTTACGGCTCCCTGTTGACTCTGTGGTAAGAGTTGTTTTGTGTTACTTCTGTGTCGAGCACTGGTGAGAGGGAGCCCTACATCTCTAGACGAATAAATACTATTCAAAATTCGTTCCCATAGATCAAAGTTATAATTTTCATATTTCTACATCAAAAAGCTGAAATGTTTTAGAAATGCAACTACACGTAAATGATACAAGCAACTGGAAAATAAACATTCAACATTGTCCCAGGTGGTCGATGACGTCTTCTGGAGGAGGAAGATGAGAAAACTGAAGAATCACGTATGATCTTGAAATATAAATCACATTTCATCATTTCTGTCTCCGTACATTATAAATAGCCATAGAATAATACCTAAATTATGATCGTCATCTCTAATGATGTTGGTAACTGTGATTAACTAAGTAATTTTTAATGAGATAAAAGTATTGTAGAAATAAATCTCCAGCGACAAACACACAGTCGGCGTGTGTTGTCTTGGCCAGGTGTCATCATCATCATCATCATCATCATCATCATCATCATCACTCATCATCATCATCATTTATTATTACATTTATTATTATTAT